TTAAGCAGATATGTCCTGATGCATATTCCGTGCATAGTCAATGAAAAGGAGAGGGGGGATAAAAGCGGGAGGGCAAGGGTATTTCTTCAGTGGGCAAGGTAGGTAGGAAGGGCTCAAATGCTATGCATGAACTGCTTAGGCTAATGAAGAACTGTTCAAAGGCTTTAGGCCGCGACACATTCTCCAGTAAGGAAGACAGTTCAATTAACATAAGAGAAGCCATGTTGGATCAGGATAATGGCTCATCCAGTCCAACACTCCGCATCACACAGTGGCCAAACCCCAGGTGCCATCAGGAGGTCCACCAGCAGGGCCAGAACTCCAGAAGCCCTCCCACTCTTGCCCCCCCCAAGCACCAAGAATAAAGAGCATCACTTTCCCAGACAGAGTGTTCCATCTGTACCTTGTGGCTAATAGCCACTGATGGACCTCTGCTCCATATTCTAAGTGCACTAAACTCCTAGCATACTTATTTCTTAAGTAGATCCTATGACTTATTTTTGAATAAAGGCTCCAAAATACAAGAAACGTCCCTCCTCAGAAATATACAAACCGAGTTTATTTTGATTCTCTCCCTTAATTTTTGATTGGAAGTTTAGTCCTACGAAGACAATAAAAGCTAGCATGTTGGCGGTCAGTCCATACGGTGCTCAACTACTTCCACAGAACTCCTGCACACAAAAAGCCACACACAGAGAGCAACTTATATTTGCTTCCAGAGGAAAAAGGAAAGTAGTTTGTTTGATAATGCAAACATACTATAGAATAATGTCTACCTGTCCTGAAATAGGCTTCTAATTTTAAAGAGTCATATTTTGTATTTCTTGGAAAGAAATACTACATATTTGAAAGGGAGTAAGTATACAATCTTTCTTAAAACCCACTCTCAAGTGTCTTTCCCAAAACAGCCTGAAGCCCTTCACAGCAGTGATTATACTCTTTTCTTTCACTTATCTTCCCCCATGTTTCTGGGTACAAATATAAGATGTTCTGGCAAGACAGATGTTAGCAATTCATTAACCAAGCCGACAGCGATCCATGGGAATTTTATTTCCACTCCACAATGCTGCTTGTGTGCCAGTATGTAACTGCCCCCCCCACTCCATAACAAGATTACACATTTTGCAAAGCACAGATCTGAGGGACGTCTTAAATAAACAGACAGCTAAAACTCATGTAACTACAAGCAAAGAGCTACAACAAGATGTGGTAGGTTGTTCTTAGCTTACCCAAAGAGGCTGCAAAGGTAGGAACTGTCTCACTGTTGCAGTCAAGGTTCCCCCTAAGCTGTGGAGTCTTGTGAACAAAAATTCTACTTTGTGAGCTACTGGCATTAAAGTTGTGAGTGAGTGATTTGGCTGCTGCATAAATTAGTTTGCTCTGGAGCCCTCCTTCCTGAGCTAAGACAAAAATCTGTGAGCTGGAGGCTATAAAACTGTGAGCTAGCTCACACTAACTCAGCTTAGAGGGAACACTGGTTGCAGTCATCCCTGGGCAAGTTAAAAATGTTTTCAGCCATCCTGACAGCGCACACTTGCTGCACACAGTGCTTAAACAGGGTATCTTTTTTAATTTATCAGATTTTTTGCAAACCTAGAAGTGTCTGGTTTCAAAAGCAGTTTCAGATGTGGTGTGGGGAAATGCTGCTTGAAAAAAACCAACAGCATAAAAAATAACTTGCCCTTTTCGACTTCAGATTGTAAATTTAAGACAACAGACTAAAGTTTGGCAAGATTTCTTCAAGAAAAGGTTGGCAGTATATGGTAATTGTGCTACATTTTAGTTATTGCTAAAGGGCTCTCTTATAAACTATAAACAGTTTCTTATAGCTGAAAATATCACATAATTGTTCCTTTATAATATTCAACTGTCATTAACTGCACTTAAGCAACTGGGTCTGCAATGGCACATTCTAAAATCAGTGGACTGAGTTCACACTCAAATTCAATAGAAAAGGTTGCAAAGATTCAAGGTCGTTCCCCCTGTACCCTTTTCACAAAACGTTTACAATGCATCTTTATTTTAGACAGGGCTCTTTCTGTAGAAAAAGCCCAGCAGATTATGCTAATGAGTTCCTGCTGGGTGTGGCCAACTTGGGAGCCAGCCAGAACTCCGTTCCTGTGCGTTCCTGCCCAAAAATAGCCCTGATTTTAGAGATTATTCTAGAGCTCTAATAGTTAAGTCACTGAGTCTGGCTGGGCCTATCCAAAGTTCTGTGTATGCCAGTGGAACGGGCTCACACTAGCTCAGGAGAATTTCACTTCTTCCTTTGAATTGCAGAACCTCACAATGCAACACAAACCACTTTAGGTATTCCATAGTTTCAACAATAGTTTGCTGTGCAGCATGGCAGAACTTTGCTGTTCCAGACAAGTCTGAATTCTCAATGGGTTCACGGAATTAGTTTCAACAGCTCTTTGGGAACTGGTTAACAAGAGCAGGAGCATTGTCAACAGATGCCTGTACAATAAGAAGGTGTGCTGTCACTAATACTTAAAAATCTCTCACAAAATCTAAAGCGTATGCATATGCCTATGCGCGCACACACAGACACACTGATTAACTCAGAACACCGCAAGAAAATGCATACGTACAGTGCTTTAAATTTATTATTGTACAATACATTTATTGGAATAACTCATCCGATGAGTTATAGTATAAAACTACTGAAATAAAGATACATTAAATGTTATTCCTCTTATTCTGTAATCAGGCACAATGGTACCCCGACACTACTATTAAACATTATAGCCCTATCATTATTAGAAACCTACATTACAAAGCAGTGATCTACAAAACGAAAGTGTTGTTTATATATGTGTGTCTATACTTTTTCAAGCCAGTCAATATTATGGTGTTATGTAAAACCAATGCTGCATTATCGGTTGAAATGATGTCTCCCAAAATATATGGACCTCGTGATTATGCACAAATAATTCTTTGGGTTGGAACCAGTGTTCCCTCTAAGCTGAGTTAGTGTGAGCTAGCTCACAGTTTATTAGCCTCTGGCTCACAGATTTTCGCCTTAGCTCAGGAAGGAGGGCTCCAGAGCAAAGTAGTTTATGCAGTAGCCAAATTGCTCGCTCACAACTTTAATGCCAGGAGCTCACAAAGTAGAATTTTTGCTCACAAGATTCGACATCTTAGAGGGAACATTGGTTGGAACCCCCCCCCACACGTTTTATTCTCTTGATAACTGCAGTACCCTAAAAAGCCACTCTCGTGGGTTGGGGACCCCCAGAAAGCACAATGGGTAATGAAGGGCTGCATGTGGAAACCCCCATCCCTTCTGGCATAAGCAGATGTATCCTTCTGCTTGTGCAGTACAGGCTTGAGGTCCAACCCAATGTAAGCAACCAATATTCTTTTCTTCTATAACCAGAATCATGCCAATCTTGTATAAAGAACACTGTCTTGTGATAGTGACAAACTGTTCATCAAAGGCAAATTTTAAAAACAATTATGCATGTTTTACATACAAGCAATTTTTTTTTAAAAAAGCACAGACAGGCAGAAAATACATTTCTAACTTGAGCAGATTTTCTCTTTTCGTTCAGAATTACACACAAACATTCCTTCTACAGATTTTGCAAGGGTAAAATAAGCAGGAAATAGGGCCGCGGAAATATAACACAATATCCAAGTGTAACTAGGAGAGCTGCAGAAGTGAAGCTAAAACAGCATCCTGCCAAGCTGAATGGCAACAGCCAGAAACTGGTAACTGATCCTGGAACACAACCCACAGAATTCTTTTCCATTACTGAAGCTCAAGAATTTTTCAACAAGACACACAGTTTATGCAATCAGAAACTGAATGTCGTTATGAGGAAAATTTCAGCAGTTACAGAAAAATTTAGACGGATGAAGTGCGGATCAGTACGTATTTCTTGACTTAGTTACCTTTTCATAAAGCCTCAATGGATTTCAAGGCCAAATGCATAACTGGTCCTCTAGATTAACAGGTAAAGCCAAGCTGGCTGTAAAAACAATTTCTACACTGCTACCACTCCTGCCATTTTCAGTTCACCCCAGCAGTCTTTACTATACCAGTCAAAAAGTCCCATCCATAATGGCAACGATCACATCCATTTATATTGAATGCAAGTTTTGCCACTGATTTTAAGAAAGCAGAACCCTCCCTACCAAACTATCGTTGCCCCCGTTTGTAAAAATGACAGCATGCCAACACTGGAAAACCTTAAATCCCAAATATGAACGAGTTAAGGACATTGCTCTTGAGAAGGCTGTGTTAACATGTTAGTAGCTATTCTACAAAGGTGAACCGAACACTTATATACCACCTTTAAGCACATATTGTGATTCGTGACACCCAGGCGAATCTAGTTTTAGTAAAAATACTGTGATTCATATCAGAAATAAAACTGTAAGTTGAATGTCGCATGTGCACCTTACCAAATCAGACGGGGGTGGGGGGGGGGAACGCAACCTTAAGAAACAACAAAGGCGGATTGTGCCATCGTTTTTAAAGTATAGTTTTAGTGTACTTTTGTATATTTTGTTCAATGTATTTCTTTAAAAAAATTTCTCTCACCCAACCTTTGGGTACCCAAGCGTGTACACCTTAGACAGTGGACACAATTAATCCCCAATTTTCAGAGAGAGAAAAGAGGTAACAAATTCACCCCAGGGTACATAGCTAAGTCTACTTTAAAATACACATAAGCGCTAGAAGTGGGTTTTGCTAACACAAGTAAGCAAACTTAAGGGCCAAACGGGTGAACTCACAGCAACAGCCTTGCAGAGTGCCATCAGGGTCTTAAGCAAAAGGACAGAGAGGGCGAGGAGACCATGCTGTTTTGCTAAACTCACCTGGCAGAGGTGGGCAACCATTCTCTAGGAGCAGAGATGCATGCACAAAAGTAAGAAGGTGATTGCACGTAACCGACTTCCACATTAGAAACATTACAAACTTTGTACAGAAATATTTTTGAAAAAAAAGTTGTAGGAAAAACAAAGAAAGAGGTTTTTGGATTCCTCACCTCTCGCTTTGCAAGCAGGACGTTCGGGACGATGTGAGGCAAACAGCGGCCCAGCATTAGCATGACGCTTTTCTCGCTATCGGCAATCCGAGACACCTAGAAACAGGATTTATTTGTAATTATGCACAGCCAGGGGCCATTTTGGAGAAAAAGAGGTGCAGGAGCTCATTAGCATAGTGGTTTGGTGTCGTGGTTAAGTGTGCGGACTCTAAGCTGGGAGAACCGGGTTTGATTCCCCACTCCTCCACTTGCACCTGCTGATGTGACCTTGGGTCAGTCACAAGCTCTGGCACAGCTGTCCTTGAAAAAGAGCAGTTTGTGTCAGAGCTCTCTCAGCCCCACCCCACCTCACAGGGTGTCTGTTGTGGGGAGGGGAAGGGAAAAGGAGTTTGTAAGCCGCTCTGAGATACCTTTGGGTAGTGAAGGGCGGGGTATAAATCCAATCTCTTCTTCTTCTTCTATTTGCATATGCCACACCCCCTGACATCACCGGAAGTGTGTCAGAAGGCAACACCCACCGCTCAGGCTCCACTGGACTGTTTTGGATTGCTAGCTATTGGGGGGGGGGGGAGTGTGGAGAGCGGGTCC